GCGCCCGGCCCACGCTTATTTCTTGATTGAGAATTTCAGATGTTGTCTATGACTTTCTGCATGATGGAGGAAGATTTAGCTCAATACCAGGTTCCCCCCTCCATGGAGCTGCAACACTATTTCCAATTTCTACTTGAATTCCTTTATAACTTTACAGACAATACCTGTGCCTTTATTTTTGGTTCTCTCTACTTTAGACAGTGTCCCTTGACTTCCCATTTTGTAAGACGAGCAAAACGCTCTCCCTACCATTTCTCTCTTCTCTTGCAGTATTTCCATCATTCAACTTGTCATCTGTGTTTTTAATGTCTTATATAGTCAAAGTTTTTATATATTTTCAAAGCTGATAAAACTTACATCCTGTTCTGTTACCTTAATTAATTTGTACTTTGCCTGATGCTTGAATCTAAATAATTAAAAAAGCAACAGTAACATTATTGTGACTATGCGACTATTGTTAGGGGCATAGCCAAGCTTCATTTTCCATTGTCTATTTAATAAACACTAATACCGTCCTTACTAATTTTTGGACACTTTTCTAATCACTCTGCAATTATCAAGTAACTTAATGCTCATAACAGACCTCTGAGGAACACTTTTTTTTTTTCCCTGTCCTGGAGTAATGCAAGCAGAAACACCCTTACTAACTTTATTTTATGAGCTGTTTAAGCAATCTTGGGCAAGTTGCTTAACAACTCATAAAGTGAGGTTAATAATAAATAATAATAAAGATAACTGATTTTTTTTTTCCTCTGAAGTTTCTAATCATTTCTCTTTGTCTCTTACTTTACGTATTTTAATCATCTCAATGCTAGTTTCAAATCTTGGGAATTCCGTTTCCTCTGGATGGCTCCCTCCTAAAACCTCTACCCCCTTGCTCCAATTTGGATCAACTGTTCTCTGGACCTGCTGTGCTTCTGTTCCTCTGAACCTTTGCTTTATTTTTCCCTGGGCTTTTAAGATTCCTGTTGGCCCTCAGTCATGGTTTATTCTTCCGTTTGGCTACATCACATTTGAATGTGAATTCCTAAGATTGGAGTGGGTAGGAGGAGGGGAGTATATTTTTTGAGTCCTTCCATGTCTGACAATATTTATCTTTCTTCCCACCTTTATGGTGTGATTAGATTTAAAATTCTATGTTTAAAAAGATTTCCGCAGGGGTGGGGCGGAATAGAAAGGGGGGCTCAATCAAGCCTAAGGAGGACAAAGAG